ACAAACAAATAGATAAATGCCCCCATTTACATTTTCTCTCTGCCTGTGATACTTAGTTATTCACATAGAAGTGTATTGATATAATAGCCTCCGTACAGAGCTTGGTGTCTAAGGGTTTCCTACTGAGATCCATGGTGTGAGGAAAAGACTTTTGAACACTTTCTGCAGTTAAACACAGACCCTGAACTTACAGACTTACAGCAGAAAAATTTCTACTTATTAGTTTCATAAGCCAATATTTAAACAGGATTTTCCATCCTAAAACTTCTTGGAATGATGCATCAGTTCTGTAAATTCAGTCAACACGAGGCACCTCATCAGGGTGGAAAGCTTTCTAACATTTTAATTATTCAATATGCTTGATTTTATTTTCATTCAATGCCTATAAGAATTTGTAGTATTTTCGAAATGGAAAATGAAGAGACAAATGGCAACGTGGCTTTTCCTCAACTCCTCCTTGACATATTCTTTTATAAGAATAGATGGAAACTACTACTGGCAACATTTTGGCCAATGAACTAATTCAATTGGCCTTTGTTCTACAGTTGACTATTTTTGATTTGATATTCATGCTCTATTGTTTAATTTCTCTTATTTCCTTCTAATTAACATCATTGTAATTCCCACTGCTTTATGGTTTATCTTTTTTCTCATTTACTTATTATTTTATTGCATTTCTACCATTCAATCCATCTATCCTGCCACATTAAATGCTAATGACTGTGCCAGGAGCAGGAGCTAAAATAATACATGAAACAAAATTCCATTTCTTAAAGATCTCTCAGTTTAGTGAAGGAGAAAGACAAATAAATAAAATCTCTTTCCCTTTCTTCTTTTCATTTTTAATTTCTTTTTCTTAATATTATTCAATATAATCTCATTTCTTACTCATCCCAGCTCTATTCAGTGAGCAAAAAAAAATATCATTTTTTTATAGCCAAATAACTTAAAATTAAGTTCAGGTAAAGTGCATCAAGTCTTGGCTAATGCAATCTAATTGTTTACCTCAGGCTAATCCTAGGTCTTCTAAGCTCCTAAGGTCATAGGTTCACTTGATATTCAAATTAAGCTGCTCATAAATTAAACTTCTATTCTTTCCAGGGAAAGCTCTGCACTCTTCCAAAACCTCTAAGGATTTTCAGGGGGACTAAATTTCTTCTGATGGCTTTCACCTTCAATTCATTTGAAAATATTTTTAGCACATGTTTGCAATGTATAATGCTTACGTTAATCTTGAGGACCTGGAACAGATAGGTATGGCATCTTGACCACTTTTACTCTCCTCTCCCTCCTCACCCAGATCCCCTTCCCATATCCAGAGTTTACTTCTTTGTTTTTCACTATTTGTATTTTATTTTGCTTTTTATATCATTTATATTATGATTCTTTTCTATTGCAGAACACATATTTAACCTTCTTTGTTTCATTTTTTTTTCACTTAGTATTATGGTCCTCAAAAATTCCTGGATATCTTGCCTTCCATGGGTGACTTCTCACATCTTTTTTGCCCTCTCTTGTAGTAGGATTCTCTTAATAGACTAAAAATGCGCATAAATTAAAGACTATTCCAATTTGTTTGGTAATGTGTTATCAATCTATTAAAAAACTCATTTGAAGTTGGTTTTCAAACTTTTAGCATGTGTTGTAATCACCTTGAAAATCTCAAAAATGCTGATTCCTTCTGCCTACACAAGATGGTCTCTTATCTCATGTTAAAGTAACAAATTCACATTTGTGTACATTTTCTGTGTATATTATAACACACATTAGTTCTGTACAACCCTTTTATTCCAGAAATCTGGGTAATTCAAGTTATTTCCAAAGACAAGATGATTCATGTTATTTACAAGTATGTTCCAGCCATACGTGTGTTAAGACTGTTAAGCTTTTTCTAACAATATAATAATAATTATAACTCAACAAACATAACTACCAGATTCTATAAGTTCATATTGAGGAATGACTATATTTTAAAAAATATACTAAATTATTTCTAGCATTTGCCTAGTACTTTCAATTGAAAACCATTTTAATATGTCCTTTATCTTTTTATATCATTTCTAACAACAGAGCTTAATAGTTAGACTAGTGAATTCTGTACCCAACAAACCCAAAGTAGCGCTACCAGGGTGTAAATTACAATGTAGCCATATGGTCTCACATTAAAACGCATAATAGGATTAACCTTAAAAAAGGTAGAGTGTGTTTGCCAGGTTAGGATTTAGGCATCACACTCTGTGCAACACAGGAAAAGGTGGAACCTGTGATACTCGTGGTGTTACAGCCAAGGGTCACTTGAGAAAGTAAGATGAAAAGCCCAGATCTTTATGGATAAAACTTCTTATGTGTGTGATACATAAAGACACCCTTTCTACCAGGTAGACCTCTATTCAGCCCTCAGACTTCAGTCCCTGGCCATTTGGTCAGAGATATCAAAGACTTTTCAGTTTTAACATCATTTTTGATCCTTTCAAAGTGTCCAATATTATTTTCTTTCATTGCACTTAGGGCAATCATAATCAGGTAATTTTTATGTGATTGATGAATGTCATGTCTGTGCCTCTAGTAGTACATTGTGAATTCCTCAAAGGCAAGGATTAGGTTTGTAAACTTCTGCTAAATTAAGAACCTAAACTGTGGGCTGGCATAGAGCGACATGCACAGTGATTGGATGAATGCGTGCATGGAAGAAAATAACCTGACTAGAAAAGGTCCTGTGTTTTGTATAGACAAATTGTTTTGTTTTACGGATGTGGTGAGCACATTAGGATTGATTTTAAAAGAGTAAAATACTGAGAAGTCTTACCAAATTCAGCACATTAATGTAAGTGGAGTTTGACACTGCAAAGTTAGATTAAAGATGATGATTGAACAATTAGAAACATAAAATAAGGTTGTAGCTTAACTGTTTTGTATTCTCTACCTGCCTTGTTGAGGAAGAGATTGTGCACGAAAACTTTTTGAAGCATAGCCTGACAAGCTGTAGATTTAAGGTGAGGATTTTGGGGACTATGGGTGGGAAGAGTCACAGGTACATATTAGAATTTGTTTTACTGTTTCTTTTTTCTCTTTTTTAAAGTACTTGCTATGTAGTTCAGATTGGTCTTGAACTCCCTTTGTAACCCTGGCTGGGCTGCAATTCTCAGAAATCCTCTTGCTTTAGCTTCCAAAGTGCTGGGATTTCAGTCACCACGTCTGGCCATATTAGGGTTCTAATGACAAAAGAATTTAGTGGAACGAGATCCAAACAGTGTTCAGATATGTAGATAAAATTATGATTGACTAATGAGTAGTTTATGAATAAATTAAAATGAATTGTCTTAAAAGATATATTTTAATCCATATATGGTCAGAGTTATACCATCTTACCACAACTAGTTGATTAAAAAGAGAATTATATGTTTATTTGTACAAAGTGAAAACTATGAAAAATGGTGTTTTGCAATATATCTGGAAAAGCTACTTAAAGAGGTCATAACGGAAAAACAAGGACAATTGGAAAATATGCGGAAGCAAGTCAAAGCCACAAAAATGACAGTTATATAATACCAAAGGACGAATTCACTAACTGGCACAGCAGAAAACAGTTCTATAATTTGGGATGATTCTTTAAAGCAGATGGTTACAGTCTATCTGTCAGAACTGGCTGAGCCCCTAGTCAGTGGCATTTTTGAGAAAGAGATGTTAGGGGACAACATCATCTTTGCATACCTTATTATTTCTAAATGAGAGCTTCCCTGCACTTGATTATTTTTTGTCTTCTGAAGAGTTCCTCTGTGTAGACAATCATCAAAGAACTCTCTGTTGTTTGGTGTGCTAAACCTGAGAGCATTAAGACAGTCCTAGAAGTCGGCCAGCTCTTATAACGGCTCTAGCACTGACAGCAAGTGTCATTCACTTACACCACTCGATTTCAATTTTCAGATCTTGAATATTAAGAAATATGTGATCCTAGCCTAAATAAGTGATTTTCAACATGTTTGTTTTTGCCTTTGAGAGTTTGACTAGGTAAGGAAGCAGAATCTGGCAATGAACTCATCTGGTTAGTTACTTAGGTCTATTGTTTTGTATCTTAGGTTCTAGGAAAAGAGACTTAACCTCCTGTCCGGGATTAATATTACTGAACCAAAAAATGAGGTACTAGTAATTTTGTTATGTGGAGTAGTATGAATCATATAAATTTATTTCAATAGTGCCTGGTACTAGTCAGAACTCTATAAATGGCAACTCTATTAGTGGTTATATGTTTATTAATATATTATTGACTGAAAAAAAAGAGTTGATTTAAAAATTATAACTTTATAATTTGTTATTCTACTTTAAAATTTTTTAATAGAGTAAGAAATTTGTCTTTTAACTTGTTCTTTAATTTGATTTCTCTTCAGACTTGTTTCCTTGTGTTTCCTCCCCAGATTTTGCTCAGTTGGACAAATCTTCACCTTAAATTGATAAAATTGAATAGAAGAATATATTACAATTTTTATGTTTATATATATCATGGTGTCAAGTCTATTTTATTCATAAATGGAAACCTACAGATATATTTGTTTGGCTTCCAAATTTTCCTCTGCATATAATGTAATTTATTTTTATAAAATATAAAATTTGATTTGACAATAAGGTTACTAGGAACCCAAACATCTGGAGCCATGGTCTAATTTCTTTTTTTTTCCTTTTTCAGCATATTATCCCTTAAAATTTTTTCAAAATAATTTTGTGTGCTCTATTTACAGGTTATGTTTTCTTACCTGAAAGCATCAAGAATTTATTTTCCAACATAAAAGAAAACTATGCCTCTATACAAGCTAAAAACAAATCTAAGCCCATTATATTTATATTCTAATTAATGTTACGTACATAACTCTTCTTTTACTTGAATGACATATCAAATGAAATCTTCAAATATGTTGTTTTCTGTTTAAAAGAACTGATGCTCTTAGATTTGGATCAAAGTATATCGTGGTTCAGGTCACTCTCTTTTATTTCTTTTTCTTCTACAGTTTATTGCTTTTGCTTCTTTATTCTTCATCTTGGTTTCAATCACAACCTTTTGCCTGGAGACACATGAAGCTTTCAATATTGTTAAAAACAAGACAGAACCAGTCATCAATGGCACAACTGTTATTTTACAGTATGAAATAGAAACGGATCCTGCCTTGACATATGTAGAAGGAGTGTGTGTAGTGTGGTTTACCTTTGAGTTTTTAGTCCGTATTATTTTTTCACCCAACAAACTCGAATTCATCAAAAATCTCTTGAATATCATTGACTTTGTGGCAATCCTACCCTTCTACTTAGAGGTGGGACTCAGTGGGCTGTCATCCAAAGCTGCAAAAGATGTCCTTGGCTTCCTCAGAGTTGTAAGGTTTGTAAGGATCCTGAGAATCTTCAAGCTCACCCGTCATTTTGTAGGTCTGAGGGTGCTTGGACACACTCTTCGAGCTAGTACAAATGAATTTCTGCTGCTGATCATCTTCTTGGCTCTAGGAGTTTTGATATTTGCTACCATGATCTACTATGCCGAGAGAGTAGGAGCTCAACCTAATGACCCTTCAGCTAGTGAGCACACACAGTTCAAAAATATTCCAATTGGGTTCTGGTGGGCTGTTGTGACTATGACAACCCTGGGATATGGGGATATGTATCCCCAAACATGGTCAGGGATGCTAGTGGGAGCCTTGTGTGCTCTGGCTGGAGTGCTGACAATAGCCATGCCGGTGCCTGTCATTGTTAACAATTTTGGAATGTACTACTCTTTGGCAATGGCCAAGCAGAAACTTCCAAGGAAAAGAAAGAAGCACATTCCTCCCGCTCCTCAGACAAGTTCACCTACATTTTGCAAGACAGAATTAAATATGGGCTGCAATAGTACACAGAGTGACACATGTCCGGGCAAAGATAACCGACTTCTGGAGCATAACAGATCAGGTAAGCCACAATTTCAAATGCATGTTATTACTTTATAGACCAGTATGTCCCTTAGGTGAAGGCAGCCAGTCTCATTTTTTGCAAATGTTTATAAGTTTTCAGTCCTATTCCTTCATAAAAATGTGTGTTTGTGACAGGCTTCTAGATAGTTAGATGGTAACATTTCTGAATGGATCCCAAATAGAAGTCTGCATAGCTGGTCTACAGAGTGCTCTTGCTTTAGTGGGAATGCCTTTTGCTGATGGTGCCAATATTTTCTTTTGCCTGTTTGTTGCTTCTTTGTTTCTTTGTTTCTCTGCACGATGTGATGATATGATATTGGCCATCTTCCATCCTTCATTCCAAAATGTTGATCTCCATATTTTTTGGCTTGGTGTGTTTGTCTCAGTTTTATCTCTGCCATATGGGGCTATGCATCTCAACCTAACTCACAAGAAGTTATTTAAGAAGAATGGATGCTTACATATCAAAGGTCTAAACACCAAAGAGGTGATATGGAAGATAATTCTTTCAATAACAAAGCTCTTTCTTACTAATATTGTGGATTATTAAATTTTCATTGCTCTTAAATTTGGTAGGTCATCTCAATATAGTCCCTTTGGTGAGGCAAGATACCAAGTAACATTAACAATCCATAATTATTGAGGAAATAGACTATCTACTTTGGCTAATCAATGGCAGAGTTGAATTTCTCTGTGGATTTCTTTTTATTCACTATGCTTTGGACTCTGCTCCCATTTGGGACTGAATTTTGGTGAACTTTTTTTTGTGTGTGTGAGATTATCTGAATCCCTATTCCCTCCCTTTCTGCAGATAATCTGGCATTGATTGCTTCTAAATTGATATTCAGAATGCCAAAGTCACTGGCAATAATGTCAGTTCTAATCTATCATATCTTGCACAGATAAACCACTTTGAAGTATAACAATATAAACAGATTTTTATATATTATGAAAATTTAAAAAGTATATTCATTCCCTATGACTTACGTGTATTTCAAGATTTTCCTATGGAAAAATGACTTGTGAGGATACCATGTGAATAATTTTGTATCATTTTGAAATAATACCAATTGGCAAAACAAGCAAACTAATGAATGAGACAGGTGCTATTTTTCACCCTCCTTAGTTTCCAGACATTTTTGAGACAAACAGAACAAAAACGTGGCTGGAGCTGAACTGCTATTTAAGTATTTTATTCACAGTTCCTATTTTCATTTAGTGATTGCTCTGTAAATTCTGTCAATATATATATATCTGAAGACTGTTAAGAATGTCTTTAGGACAGGGGGAGTTCAGTTGTTGCTGTTCAACTCATTACAGTGCTCTCAGAGTATCCATGCAGAACCTTTAAGAAGGGCATGGAAAAAGAGAAAGCACGCTCATCTTTGGTAAACATTGTAATGAGAAGCTAGTATTTAGGCCATTAGAATGAAAAAGGCTTTAGCAAGAATACAGAAGTAAACAGTTATTTCAAGGGCATTTAGAGAAGTTGATCTATTTCCACTGTATGTGCAATAATATTTTACTACTTCAAAATTGAGTACCTGGACATAAAGTGTTTGTGCATTAGGATTTTTATTAATATTTTTGGAAAAATTACATTCATAAAATAATAAAAGAACTGCAAACAAAAATATTTACTTAACTCTTTTCTTAAAGTCTTCACTTTTAAAGATTCCTACTTATAGTAGTTGAGTAGCATGTAACAAATTGTAAGATAAGTTCTGTGCTAATTCATTGTCCCACTTTCTTTGTGCTACTACTAGTGGCATAAAAGCCAATTATCTATTAGACAAAATCCAGAAAAGGAATCACAATTTCCAAAGAACATTTCTATCCTTTACAATACATTTCCATTTTGCTCCATGTAATATTTTTGTGATGATTCTTTTTAATTGTGATGTAATTATCGTGTTTTGTATACTGAGTGACTGGACTATGGGCATATGGTGTAAACTCTTTGTACTGTCTCATTTCCTCATCCATCATTGTCTGTCAATGGGCATGGTGCTGTGACCAGTGTTATCAGGTGACGACAGTACAGGAAGTGAGCCGCCATTATCACCCCCAGAAAGGCTCTCCATCAGACGTTCTAGTACCAGAGACAAAAACAGAAGAGGGGAAACATGTTTCCTACTGACGACAGGTGCTTACACGTGTGCTTCTGATGAAGGGATCAGGAAAGGTAGGCATGCATTTAATCAGATCGTAACAGGTGACTTAGCAGTTACATAAGTGCGGGAAATATTCGAAGTCTTGTAAATTGCTCATTTGTCATTTTCTGGAAAAGACTGCATGTGGTGCTCTTTTCGTCCCACCATCACATTTCCATTCATTATAAACATTTAAAACTACTGCTCATAATAGATGATTGATTGTCATATCTGAAAGACCTTTCACCTTTTTATCTTTCTTCTGATTTTCCATTTGTCTGTGAGCACAATTTTAATGGAATAAGTAAATAAATATTAAATTACTCATCTTATTATTTTAATATAATGTACCCAGCTGTCCTTAAGGGATCTTTTTTGCTACAACAAATAAAACTAATTGGCTCTATGAATATATTTGATAAGTAATTGATGACTATAAGACAATGATAATTGTTTTTTCTAATTAAAGTTCTAAACATATTCTAAATCTCTTATGTAATACTTCAGCAGTTTTTATCAGTTGTTTATCTGAATGTCTCAAAGTTATGAAAGTAAAAACTCCTTTGATATCTTTTTTGCTACAACAAATAAAACTAATTGGCTCTATGAATATATTTGATAAGTAATTGATGACTATAAGACAATGATAATTGTTTTTTCTAATTAAAGTTCTAAACATATTCTAAATCTCTTATGTAATACTTCAGCAGTTTTTATCAGTTGTTTATCTGAATGTCTCAAAGTTATGAAAGTAAAAACTCCTTTGATATATAT